CTTCAAAATTTAATTATCAAATTTCCAAATTTTGAAAACAATAAAAATTCAGTATCTTCAATTCACCGCCCCTATAAACCTCACTCATATAAAATTCCCAAATTCCAAAGTTAAATTATAAAATTTCTCTACCTAAAAATATTAAAAACATAATCTCTTACAAAGAAAAAAAGGCAGAATTTGTATCAGATTCTCAAGTACAGATCAGACTCAATGCATTTGTTTCGAGCAGAGAAACGAGGACGATAGTCGGATTGGACTTGAAATATTCACTGCCAAGATCGGTCGCGGCGAATTTAATAATTTCTATCTTAAAACATCAGCATCGACCTTAACCTCGATCCCTGCATCTCTACAAATAGGTCATATTAAAGCTCCAAATGTATCAGGCAATATTCAAACATTTTATGTGCTTCAACATTCGAATATATGCCAGAAATGTTCCGCGTTGCGCTGTTCAAAAATTATTAAACTCTGCAAATCGTTTCATATTTGAAATTGCAATATGAAACAGTACGTCGAAATGATGTTCGCATGTGTTTTAATCATAGTTTTAATTTTGGAGATTCCATACTTGAATTGTATTCATGTTTCTAATAATGCACGTCATTTATACATATGTAGGAACATGAAAAATAAATAACCATATTTTGTGTAAGAATCATTCTGACTTGGGGACTTTTAGGGATTTTTGGATTTGCAATTTATGGATTTCGAGATTTCGGGAATTTGAGGTTTGGAGAATTTGGAATTTCAAGTTTAGGGAATTGGGATTTTGAGATTTGGTAAATTTTTGATTTAGGGAATTTGAGATATTTCAAACTTAGGGACTTTTCGATTGGGGAATTTGGAATTTCAGGTCTTGGGAATTTTTGATCTAGGGAATTTGGGAATTTGATATGTAGGGATTTTTTATCTAGGGAATTTGGAATTTGGGGAATTTTCCATCTAGGGAATTTGGGATTTGGAGCATAGGAAAAATTTGATCTAGGAAATTTGGGATTTGGGGAATTTTTGATCTAGAGAATTTGGGATTTGGGGAATTTTTCATCTAGGGAATTTGGAGCATAGGAAAAATTTGATCTAGGAAATTTGGGGTTTGGGGAATTTTTGATCTAGGGAATTTGGGATTTGGGGAATTTGGAGCATAGGAAAAATTTGATCTAGGAAATTTGGGATTTGGGGAATTTTTGATCTAGAGAATTTGGGATTTGGGGAACTTTTCATCTAGGGAATTTGGGATTTGGGGAATTTGGAGCATAGGAAAAATTTGATCTAGGAAATTTGGGGTTTGGGGAATTTTTGATCTAGGGAATTTTGGACGAGGGAATTTTTTATCTAGAGAATTTGGGATTTGAGGAATTTTAGAATTTGGGGATTTTTAGGATTTAGGGAATTTTGGGATTTGGGGAATTTTAGAATTTGAGGAGTTTTAGGATTTAGGGAATTTGGGGAATATTAGGATTTCGGGAATTTCGGAAATTTTTAGATTTTGTGAACTTGAGATGTGAGTGATCTTTTATTTGGGAAATTTGAAATTTAGGGAATTTAAAATCCTGGGTATTTCGGGACGTAGGAATTTTTAGATCTGAGGAATACTTAAACTAGAAAATTCGAGAATGGGATACAAATTTCGTGATCTAGAAATTTCAAAGATTTTAATTTCAAAAAATTAAGAACTTGAAAAATTTTGAAATTTGAAAATTTAGGAAGTCTGAAGACACTAAAATCGTTAATGTCAAATATTTAAACTAGTAAACTCGTAAAAAATTACTATTAAACTAGTAAAGCTCAAAACCATCTAGTTTACATATGTGTTTCAATTCGAGAGAAGCCATTATTACTCCCATGTGTACGAAATGATAGACAATCTTACCAGGCGTAAATTCCCAGATAGATCAGGCGGTAAAGGATGAGTTAATTCAGGGATGAACAATTGTGGTACTACGCAGAAATTTTCCCAATAATGTGAAGTTACGCAATGACGATTAGCTCGTAGAAAAGGAATGCCAACGAACTGAGGCGTGCAAGGGCCTTTCCCGTAACAGGAAATACCCGGGGTCACGGACTGCCATGAAGTTCATAGAGACGGTGTACGCGCAACGAGAACACGAGACGCGCAGAAAACCGGCTCGTTCGATTCACTCGTTAAGATAACGCGGCGGATATTCTGCGCGCGATTCTGTGAAACATGATCGAGTAACAAATACCGCGAACACGCGATTACAACGAACTGTCGATGGATCAAAAATCGTGCGGGAAATTGACGAACGATCGCGAATGACACTGAAATCCCGCGTTCGACTGCAGCGCCGCGTAGTTTTGACAATCGAAAGCGTGGTAACGAACCACGTGATCGAGAACTCGTTTATACGCAACGTTTGATTCATTAATACTTGTACAAATGACGCACGTAATCCTGTCTTATATAGAGACGTATATTATTACATTTCTAGAACTGTATATGTGTGCTAAAGGTGACATTAATGACTATCGATGCAATAGTGATATATTAATGATATGTATGCGTATAGTGTTATTAAGATACTGTTAAGATTAATGATCGAAGCAAAGCATTATTTTTATATTCAAATTGATTTAATTTTGTTTGGGCTTGTAATACGACTTCAATGATCTTCATAACTAGTTATCTTAATATTAATACCCTAAATCCTTTTAATACCCTAGATTTTGAAATATTAATATCCCTAGAAATTAACATTCGAGAAACAAATAGCTTTAGCTTTTTAAATTTTGGGATACGAATATTGCCAATATCCCTAGAAATATCCGTCGAAATATTCCCAGAAATATCCCTATAAATACTTCTAGAAATATCCCTAGGGATATTCCTAGAAATATCCGTAGAAATTAAAATATCAAGATATTAATAGATCTAGATTCCAATACTTTGGAATAGAAATATCCCTAGATAGTAATACCGCAAAATACAAAAGTCCCTAGCTTCCAGTCCATTTGTCCCTAGAAATCAATATTCATCATATTAATAACCTTAGGTTCCAATACATTGCAATACTAATATTCCCGTACCTCAAAATTGCAAAATATAAAAATCCCTAGATCCTAGGACAAATATCCCTAGAAATGAATATTTAATGCACTAATATCCCTAGATGTTAACGCTTTGGAATACCATAATCCCCGGACCTTAAAACTGCAAAATACAAAAATCCCCAGATCCTAGTATTATTGTTCCAATATTTAGTTTCCATACTAATATCCCTAGATTCAAGTATCTCTGAATGGAATTATAACTAAATTCCTATATTTTCAAATGTCAACATCCCTAGATTGCAGTACGCTTAAATGCGAATATCCCTAGATTCCAATATTTATAAGTATAAATATCACTAGACTGAAATATGCCCAAGTATAAATATCTCCAGATTGAATTATTTACGAATGAAAATATCCCTAGATCCTAGTACTATTCCTGATATTAGAATATCCCTAGATCCGATCATCCTGACATTCCAATATCCCTAGGTCGCATCATCCTGATATTCTAATATCCCTACATCCCACCATCCTGATATTAGAATATCCCTAGATCTCATCATCCTGATATTACCAATGTCCGTAGATCCCAGCATCCTGATATTCCAATATCCCTAGCTTGTAACAATTGTAGTGTCATTTATTCCTATATCTGAATATTCCTAGATCTCAAAGCTTCTAGTTTCCAATATCACTAAATTCGAACAAGCCTTCATCCTAATATCTCAACACAACGCTCCAATATCCCTATATCTTTATATCACACATAAGCAAATTCGTGTGTTCAGATATTTATGGATCCATGAAACCATGTTTTGCTATGCCCATAGTAACATTCGGAGATCAAGCATGGTCGTCCTGTTACGATAAAGAATGCCATTTAAACGAGTCATTTAACCAAGCTTATCTGTGCGAACGCGTTTTAGAATGTCGTTGAAGGAAACAGGTTGACCTTCCGGCTCAGCAAAACATACAGCCTGTTTAAAATAAGCGGGGATACCGAAACTTCATTCGGAATCTTGATTACCTGCAACTTCTTCCAGGAGGAACGAACAACGAGCTTTAATTCAGCACTCCTAATTAAATTTACATTAGACTTCTGACTCTCTATACCGTTGAAAATCACGTCAAATGAGATTTATAAAATTATATTGACCGTTTCTGTAACAGCGATTTCTGCTTAGTTTGTGTTCGGTAGCTTCAATATTTACAAACAATAAATACTACTTTTGTGTTGGTAACACATGTCGTGTAACTGTTATCAAACACCTTCTGTTACTACACTTTAAATTATACAACAGTTTATTGAAGTTTGTATACTAAATTCTTTTACACTTGACGCATTTCGACACTGTTTACAAAAACTACACAGAATTTTTGTGAACTCCATTTAAATTGTTTTGGAATCTTTCTATAAATAATAAGTCGATAACTACAGCGGACACGAAGACGTACACGTCAAAGTACCATAAATTTCCACGATAATGATTAGCATCATAGATACCTCGAAAAATCACCGCGAGTTAAAATCGACATATTTCACAAGCAGATAACTGACCAACGCTATCCATAAACGTTTATGCATCCGATCGGAGTTCTCAAACACTGTAATCAAGATCCGCGATTTACATACACTTTGTAACTGACGTACGATAAAAGCATCCGCAGTATATTTATCTGAAAGTCGGATTTGCCATTGTACGCGGAGTAAAAATGTCCAGCATCCCACCTGGGCAAACGACAGCACGTGGGCAGATGCAGGGAGAGGCAAACGTAAGGAAAGTGTCAGGACGCAGGTTCGTATCCTGCGAGGATAAACGGGACTAGGGAATAAGCGTGGAGAGAAGTTTAATAGCCGAAGGTAACGGTTCCCCGTACACGCGTCTCCATACCAAAACGAGAAACTACAGAGCCGTTGTGACAGCTCGCGAGAATCGTTCACGACAATACACGCTCGTATTTATTAATAGAATTTCGCTCACGTTTTCTGGCGTTGCTCCGGCTTTCCCTCGCTTGAGCGGATCCGGCTGCGTGCAATAATCCCGTCGAAGAGTCGTCGATACACGATGCTCGTGCACGGAGAGACACTCCAATCGGAGCGAGGAATGCGGAAGATGGAGAAACGGGGATAGAACACCGCACAGTTGCACAGCCTGGGGAAACACGCCTTTTTGTAACAGCGCGAGAACGGATTCACGATTATTTCCGTTGTCGGAGCGGATACGGGATCGCGAGACGCGAAACTGTATGCGTATGAACCGCGTGTAGTCTTTGTACCGTGTCACCGTAGTCGCGCGAATGTCGGAGCGTGCGACGTCATTCCTCGTTGCGATCTCATCCCCACGACGAAGCACGGCTGACTGACGGCTTGCTCCGACGCTCCGTTACGATCGACCCCCCACCACTCGCGCCGGAACCCCCACCACTGCGCATAGCCCCACCACGCCGACTGGCTTCTCGCAGTGTACAGTGGGGCAGAATACTCGAGATGCGGGAAAGAACTGTGTGCGTCGGAACCGACGTTGGAAATGAACCTTGCGTGCTTCTTGTAGATTTCGGGATTTGCGGATTTGCCAATATAGAAATTTCAAGGATTCGGATACTTGCAATTTTACGATTCGAAATTTTATAATAAATGTTATATTGCAGATTAAATGTTAAGAAGTTCGGTCGTTGTGTCATCGTCTTTGGAAGTAGGACTGTAAGACTTAGAGCGTTTGAGAATTTGGGAATTTAGGGTTTTAGAGACTTGAGAATTTGACAATTTGGGAATTTGAAAATATGAACATTTGGAAATTAAGAAATTTGAAAGAATTTGAAGGATTTTAAGTATTTGTATATTTTTGAAATTCAAATTACAGATATGAGAATTTACAAATGTGGAGAATTTGAACAAATTTTGAGAAATTTTGATTTTGGGAAGAAAGTAGTGTAGTTATAGGAGTAGATATTGTACTAGAAATAGTAAGTTTCAATTGTAACGTTTCTTCGTCCCAGACTTTTGAAGTAACACTTCAATTTCTGATCATTTAATTAGTGTCTGCTGGAGAATCAGCGAGAAACAATACATTTCACAAGACATCTAGTGGCGTATTGCTGAAACGTCATCTACAAAATATAACACATCTTCTAATTAATTAATTAGCCTAATTTTCTGCCCATATTTATAATCAGATTATGATATACCTAAGCCAATGGGTGAAACTTTAATTTGAGAACAATAATTAATTATAATAAAATTTTGAGATTTGCGAATATGTACATTGGTAAATTTATAAATTTGATTTTTTGAGACTTTAGAAATAAGGAAATTTATTTTTAGAACTACAAAAACGTGAAAATTTGTAAATTTGAATTTTTGAGACTTCAAAAATTAGGTAATTTATTTTTGAAACTACAAAAATTTGTAAATTTAAATCTTTAGAACTACAGAATCATAAGAATTTAAGAATCTTAAAAAATTAGAGAGAATTTTATATCTTTTGTAACTTAAGAAATTTATTAACTTGAGAATTTTTACTTTTGAATTTTCAGAATTTGTAATTTGAGTTTTTGGAATTCTTGGTGCTTCAAAAATTTGAGAAATAAATGTTAGCTTTGGAAATTTGAAAGATTTGTAAATTTGAGAATTTGTACTTCAAAAATTTGGGCTCTGAAGGATCCAAAAATTCAAAAATTTTGAGGGTTGAAAACTTGGATTTCTATAACTCAAAAATTGACATCTGAAAATTTATACAGCAATAAATATGAAAAGCTATAAAATTTGAAGAAGTGTAACTTCATATATCTAAAAATTCAACTTCTACAAATTAAAAAATTTGAAAGCTGGAAAATTCGGACTTCTAACTCCAAACAAATCATATCTGAAAATTCTACTTATAAAAAATATTAAAAATTGAAAAATTTGAAAAAGTGGACCTTCAAATGTCTAATAATTCAACTTGTTCAAATTAAAAAATTTGAAAGCTGGAAAATTCGGACTTCTAACTTTAAACAAATCATATCTGAAAATTCTACTTATAAAAAATGCCAAAAATTGAAAAATTTGAAAAAGTGGACCTTCAAATGTCTAATAATTCAACTTGTACAAATTAAAAAATTTGAAAGCTTGAAAATTTGGATCTCTAAATCTGAACAAATTACATCTAAAAATTTTGCTTATAAGAAATATCAAAAATTGAAAAATTTGACAAAGTGGACCTTCAAATGTCTAATAATTCAACTCCTACAAATTAAAAAATTTGAAGACCTGAAACCTTGGACCTCTAAAACTGAATAAATCACATCTGAAAATACTGCCCATAAAAAACATCCAAATCTAAAAAACTTGAAAAGGTGAATCTCCAAATATCTAAAACAGCAACTAGTAAAAATCCAAAAATTCGTAAATAAAAATCTGTAACTTCCTCCAAAAGCTCGCTAGCTCGAAATTTGGTCGATTAGACATCTGCAATATAAAAAAATGGCAAGTCGAATATTTTTCGTAATTTCTTGAGATTCATCCATAGTGTGTGCGCCGTCGCAATTTGCAGCCCCGCACGTCTCGTGCCACCCGCAGCGACGTTCAGTCTCTCGGCAACCGCTTGGGTCTGCATTTCTCTTTCTATCTTTCGTATTATGCATCTATCCCTGGGAACAGAAAAGGAGAGACATGAACACGGCGCGAAAGGTTCAGGAGACTACCAGTGTCGTCGTAATATTACGGGTGTACCAGTTAGATGATCGTGACACTTCCTTGCCGATTACGAATGCAGCATCCGAAGTTTTCTGAGAGGATACATGCATCAGACGTTCGTTTCTTTCTTTTTTTCGACGTACTCTCGCGACGTAATGTAAAAACGTTGCCGTATGAATAATTTATCCGTTGCGATGATTGATCTAAATTCTTTGCGAGATTGCGCCATATTTCTCGGGTGAAAAGTCGTGTCTGAAGTGGCTAATTAATTGCTACGTTGATTATACACGCTTCGAGACGTTGGAACGGTCAATTGATATGGTGATTAGATTTATTTCGAAATTTCGATTGGAACGGAATAGGTATTGCATGGTAAATAAGGAGACATTTTTTGGGGGAATTTGGGGAATTAGGGAGTTGGGAAATTAAGAAGCTGGGTCATTGAAAATTTGGAATTTTTTTAATTTGGAAATTAAGAAAATTAAGCTTTTTTGAATTTCAGGGCTTGGTAGTTGAAGTTTCAATTTTGTAAAAGTGGAAAATGAGAAATTTGGAGATATCTGGAGAATCTAGGGAAATATGGAAAGAATTTAGAGAAAGAGAAATTTATAGAGATCTACAGAGATTTATAGATATCTAGGAATAAAGTGGAGAAATATTCAGAAGTTTAGGGAAAAATCTAGGGACATTAATAGGACTTTAGAGGAATCTAGAGAAATTTAAATGAATCAAAAGAAATTTGGAGAATCTAGGGAAATTTGGAAAAATTTAGAGAAGAGATTTTTAGAGACCTAGAGAGATTTATATATATCTAGGGAAAAACTGGAGAAATCTTCAGAAGTCTAGGGAAAAATCTAGGAACATTAATAGGACTTTAGAGGAATCTAGAGAATTTTAAATAAACTATGAGAAATTTGGAAGAATGTAAATTTAAGCAGATTTATCCAAAGTTAGAGAAATCTACAAAAATTTAAATGTAGGGAAAAAACTAGTGGAGTGTAGATTAATTTAAGGAGAAAACTAGGGATATTATTGGAACATCCCAGAAATCTAGAAAAATTTAAATAAATTTGGAGAAAATTAAAGAGAGCTAAATATTCAGAAAAGTTTATTGAAATCTAGTGAAGTTTACAAAGATTTTAAGAAATCTAGGGGAAAAGGTAACGAAATTAAAAGAAATCTAGGAATATTGAAAATGATTTAAAGAAATTTAAAAAAAATGTCGAAAAATCTAAAGAAAACTAAAATAATTTATTGAAATTTAGAAAGTTTGGGAAAATTTAGTGGTCTAGAAAAATTTTAAGAAATCTAGGGAAATATAACAATATTTACAAATAGTTTAGATAAATCTAGAACTTATTTCTGGGGCATTTTAATTGAATTTATTCCTCTAGAAATTTTTAACAAACATTTCGAGGGAAACCTAGAGGGTTCATGGGAAGTCTAGGGAAATTTAAGGAAATCTAAAGAAATTTGGAGAAATCTCTAGAAAACTGTAAAAATGAAGTATAATGTACAGAATTTGTATTTACAGAAATTAAAAATTCAGAGAAATTTAAAGAAATCGAAAAGAAAAAATGATAAAAATTGATAATTATTCACCAAAACTTTCCCCTAGAAACATTGTAACCTTTTTTACGGTAACTCAAAAAAATTTAGAGCAATTCAAAAGAGTTTACTTCAAAATTTTCAGCCTTGCAAAATAATCTCCCCAAAAATTCTCCGCGTACAAAAATTAAAAAATTCCCAAACCGAAAACAGTGAACCTAAACAAATTCGTAGTAGCCACTTGAAACAAAAAGGAGAAAAATTTCCGAATTCCCAAAACGATGAATCACGAAGCATTCCAGTTCCCCGAGAGAAGTGTCAGACTGGGCCCGGCAAGTTTTCCGATCGTCCCTGGGGGTTTCAGAAACTCGTCCTTCTCCGTACCTAACCTAACCCTCTTCTTTCCGCTCGTTGGTCTTCTAGCCGCATGCACGTAGCATTACGTCTCCTCCGTGGAGCACCCGTGTCTTCAGCTCCGTCAACCTGGTTTCTCTGCGTCGTCTCTTTCCTCCTGTTCTTCCTCCTTCTGGCCCGAACCAGCGCGACGGAATATCGAGCAGCATTCCGATCAGGCCGATACGAACGTTCGCAATTCGAATCTTTTCAATCTTATCTCGTCCACCTGTCCGACTTGTGCCTATTAGACTCCGGGCTTCTCCGAGCCTCGATACGCTCCTGATATCGGGAAACCCTCGTCGACTGTCGCCGACGATCTTACCTCTGGATGATGAATTAACGTATCGATAACTGGATGCTGGTCGTGATGTGATACAATTTCAATTTGTTGGGTCGATGAAAAAATTGGTGGGTTGATGCAAAAATTGTTGAGGTTTGGGGATAAAAGGGTTAATGGGTTTACGTTTATTTACGCTCTTTTTGAAAGTGGAGGGTATTCAGGGAGGATTATGAAAGAGTGCCTGTATTTGGACTTTGGGTGTTTTGGAATTTGAGAAGTTTAGAAGAGAATTTACAAAATTTAGATATTTTGAATTTTTGAAGGCAGACATTTTTAGATTTGGAAATTTTGGGAGATTGAAGAATGAGAATTTTAGTATTTAGGTATTTGGTTGATGAAGAAATAATTGGGACTTGTGAAAAATCTAAAAGACTACATTT